GCAGGGGCGGCCCCGACGTGCGGCTCCGGCCTCCCGCACCCCTGTCACCTGCCTGCCCCGCTGCTGCCAGGCTGTCCCCGGGCTCCTTGCAGAGCAGGGATGCGACTGTTGATTGTATGTCGAAAGAGCCTGTGATCTTCCCAAAGCAGAGCCTGCATCCTGCCAGGAAGGAGCCCTTGTGCATCAGTATATCAGTCACCAAGACCGAGAAGGGGTGCAGGAAGGAGAAGCTCACTGACCCCAGTCCTGGTGAGGATCCGCTGCCAGGGAGGCTGTTTTTCCTCCAGGCTGACCAGCCTGCTGCTCATGAGCGACAGCCGCTACGGCAGAGTACCCAAGAAAAGCCAGGAGAAGTGGCCCAAAATGAGGATGAGGATGCTTTGGCATCTGACAGGTCACACGTCACTGACGGTGTCCCCCCAGAGCCATCTGCCCTCTCTGCTCCGCCCGCAGAAGGGGCTTTGCAAGTACTGGACTCTTCCTGCTTTAAAAAGCAGGTCTCGCATGACTTTCTGGAGACCAGGTTTAAAATCCAGCAGCTTCTGGAGCCTCAGCAGTATATGGCCTTCTTGCCTCACCACATCATAGTGAAGATCTTTGGGTTGCTTCCCACCAGGAGCCTGGTTGCCCTCAAATGCACTTGCTACTACTTTAAATTCCTCATTGAGTACTACAACATCCGGCCGGCGGACTCGCGCTGGGTGCGCGACCCCCGCTACAGGGAGGACCCCTGCAAGCAGTGCAAGAAGAAGTACGTGAAGGGGGACGTGTCGCTGTGCCGCTGGCACCCCAAACCCTACTGCCAAGCTCTACCCTACGGGCCTGGCTACTGGATGTGCTGCCACCGGTCCCAGAAGGGCATCCCGGGCTGTAAGTTAGGTCTCCATGACAATCATTGGGTCCCTGCCTGCCACAGCTTTAACCGAGCTATTCATAAGAAAACCAGAGGAGCAGGAGCCGACGTGGAGGAGGAGTATTAGTGCACATACACTTTCCTGCAAGATTGTTTTGGGTAGGAGGAGATTCTCATGCCTTGTGCTGTTTACAGTGTATATAATTGTCGTGGAATTTTTTTTTTTTGGTTTTGTTTTTGATTTGTTTTTTTTCCACAGGGCTATGAAACTGCACATACTTAAACACAGGAGCCTTTACCTTTTAGATTAAAGATAGCTTTTAGTCCATCGATGTAAATAACACTATAAAAACTAATTGTACATACAGAGTCTACAGCTGGCTGAACAACATAATCACTACAATGCAGCTACCATAGTGTTGCGGCTCTAGGTGTGTGTGTTTTTAAGTGTCTTGTTTCAAAATCTGTATATCCTGTATAATATATGAATGTTTCTGAGAAGAAACTCTAAATAGGTAAAGGTCAACTTGTTTAAAGAATCGTCAGACAACTTAACAGGACAACCTTAAAATTAGACTAGAACAGATCCGTTATAGTAGTGTGGCAGTGGATTAAAAAAAAAAAAGAAGAATATTATTGTATAGTCAGAAAATAAAAAGTTTCATGTTGTCTGGTTGTTTTTTTTTTTTTTTACTGAAATAAAATGTGCATTCTAAATCTGCCTTACCTGACTTTCTCATATAAAACTTTTGCCCAAAAGTACTGTCGAACACGTGGCAGAAACTTGGTACTGTGCTGTAGCTGAGACTTGCAGTGTCTTGCTAACTAGTTCTACGAAAAAAGAAACAAAAAAAAAACTTCCTCTATCTCCATTGGGGCCTACAAGAAAGCTGGACAGGGAGTTTAGACAAGGGCTGGTAGTGAGGGGATAGGATGAAGGGTGAGATAGAAAGAGGGGAGATTTAGGAAGTTTTAGAAATGAGGAAGAAGTTCTTCACTCTGAGGATGGTGGAGCAGATTGCTCAGGAAAGTTATGGAATCCCTGGATGTGTTCAAGGCCAGGCTGGATGGGGCTTTGAGCAGCCTGGTCTAGTGGGAGGTGTCCCTGCCCATGCCAGGGGGTTAATAGAAGATGATCTTTAAGATCCCTTCCCTCCCCACAACCATGTTTGCAGCAGAGGCTCCTGTTGTCTAGAAAACTGCTGCTAGGTGCATAAAAGTGGCAAGAAGTGGGGTCCCTGGGGTTTGAGTCCTGCCCTGAGCCCAAGACTCTGGAAAACTTGAAGCTGACAGAGGCAAGGAAAGGCCCCGTGAGGCTGAAATAGAAGCAGCAGAAGAAAATATTTTCCAACTAGATAAGAGGCTGGTGAGGTAATTTTTTTTTTTAATAGGATGTGAGATTCTGGTCACCTTTGTTGAACAAGAGCAAAAAATGAGACTAAAATAACAGCATTGGGCTGTTCTGTTCCTTGGAGCACTGGAAGAGGGAGGACAGTTTGCTCTCTACACCATCCCTCCCCCCTGGCTGGCTGAGCCACGGGGGCTGGTTTAGACATCAGTTACTGTGCTGGTTGCTGGAACAATCCCTGTTACACAGCATGGCCATTAAAAATTGTTTTACTGAGCAAAAGTTTGCATCCAGAAGTGGGTTGGATCTGAGCATAGCCACGCTGAGCTGCTGGCATGCGTGGTTTTGCCAAGAAGTGCAGATTTCTGTTGCCTTACAGGCCAGCTGGGGGAGAACAAAAGGTCTGAGGAACATTTATATTTCTAAAAGGCAATTGAAAGAAAAAAAAGAACTAACTCCTGTGTTGGATTTACAAAATCTGATATTCAGAAGACCTGAGGGCTAAAGACTGCACGGGGTCCTTGACTTCCCTGGGCTGTTTCTTCTCCCCAGCCTGTGTTTGGTCCAAGCAGCCCTGGTGCAGGGATTGAACTTGGGGGACTACAGGGCTGCTCTCCTTGGGAAACCTTATTGTGGACACTTCAATACTTCAATGGGAACTCTAAGAAAGCTGGGGACAGACTTTTCAGCAGGGCCTATTGTGACAGGACAAGGGGGAATGGGTTTAAACTAAGAGAGGGAGATTCAGACTAGAGAGAAGGAAGAGATTTTTGGATGCTGAGGGTGGTGAGCCCCTGGCCCAGGTTGCCCAGAGAGGTGGTGGCTGCCCCATCCCTGGAACCATTCCAGGTGAGGTTGGCCGGGGCTCTGAGCAACCTGCTCTAGCTGCAGATGTCCCTGCTCAGGGCAGGGGGTTGGACTGGATGCCCTTGAAAGGTCCCTTCCCACTTTATGACTCCTGCCACAAACCAGTGCTGGCAGAGGACAAAACCTCCTGCTGATGGCATTGCTTAAGCCCAAGTGATCTAAGCAATCCTCAGGCACGAGCTGAGCTTAGAGCCAGGCTGTCTTCATGGCCAAGAAGCA